TTTCTTTCTTTCTTTCTTTCTTTCTTTCTTTCTTTCTTTCTTTCTTTTTTCTTTCTTTCTCTCTTTCTTCCTTTTCTTCCTTCTTTTTCTTGCCTGCTTGCTTTTCCCTCCCTCCCTTCCTTCCTTCTTTGTCATTCTTCTTTTTTTTTTTTGGCTCAATCCAACCTCAACCTCCTGGGCTCAAATGATCTTCACACCTCAGCCTCCTAAGTAGCTAGGACTACAGGCATGTGTCACTATGCCTGGCTAATTTTAATTTTTTTTGTAGAGATGATGTCTCCCTGTGTTTCCCAGGCTGGTCTGAAACTCCTAAGCTCAAGTGATCCTCCTGTCTCAACCTCCCAAAGTGTTGAGATTACAGGTGTGAGCTGCTGATCCTGGCTCATCTCCTTTACAGTAAAGAAGACAAGGCTGTGAAGAAAACCTATTTAAGGTAGAGAATGTAAGAAGCTCAAGAGCTCTCATTTACCAAAATAATAATAATAATATTCTGAGTAAGTGGAAAATCCACTGAACTATGGGGAGAAGTTCAGCAAACCAAGCAGAGAGGCTGCCAAGGTGGGTAAGGCTGCCTAGAAAAAATCATAGAATGGCCCTCCATTGCTCTGCCTTCATACTGTCATTACCACAGCTGTCACTGTCACAACTACTTAGCTCTGCTGTTGTAATATGAAAGCAGCACTGGAATACATAAGCAAATGGGCATGGCTAGGTTGCAACAAAACTTTGTTTATGAACATTGAAATTTGATTTTCATATGATTTTCACATTATAAAATAGTCTTCTTTTAATTTTTTTTCAACCATTTAAAATGTAAAAATAACATTGCTCTCATAGGTCATGTTAAAAGGTGTGGGGACATTTGTACAATGGACTACTACTCAGCAATAAAAAGATATTAACTCGTGATATAGGCAACAACTTGGACAAACCTCAAGGACATTAAGTTCAGTCAAGCCAATCTCAAAGGTCATGTGCTGTTAGATTCCATTTACATAACATTCTTAAAATGATAAAATTATAGAAATGGAGAACAGATGAGTGGTTAGGGGTTAGGCATGGTTGGATATAGTGCATGGCTGTGACTATAAAGAGGTAGCATCAGGGAGCTTTTGTGATAAGGGAATAGTTCTGTGTCTTAATTGAGGTGGAGGCTGCATGAATCTACACAATTGATAAAATAGCATAGACACAAACATATATTGTACCCATATGAATTTCCTGGCTTTGATGCTGTACTATTATTATGTAAAATGTAACCACTGGGGGAAACTGGGCGAAGGGAACGTGGCACCTTCCTGTACTATCTTTGCAACTTCATGTGATGCTACAACCATTTCAAAAGAAAAAGTTAAAAACAAAAAAATAGGCCGGATGCAGCGGCTTGCACCTGTAATCCCAGCACTTTGGGAAGCCAAGGTGGGTGGATTACCTGAGGTCAGGAGTTCGAGACCAGCCTGACCAACATGATAAAACCCTGTCTCTAATAAAAATACAAAAAATTATCTGGGCGTGGTGGCGGACACCTGTAATCCCAGCTAATCAGGAGGCTGAAGCAGGAGAATTGCTTGAACCCAGAAGACAGAGGTTGCAGTGAGCCGAGTTCATGCCATTGCACTCCAGCCTGGGCAACAAGAGCAAAGCCCCATCTTAAAAAAAAAAAAAATGAAAAACAGTGGGTTAGATTTGATTCCTGAGCTATAGGTTTTCAACCATTGAAATAGGAAAATTACATTTGCAGTATATATAATAGGGAAAATGAATATGCAGAATAAAGAATATACAATTCAACAAGAAAATAACAACCCATTTTAAAAAAATGGATAAAGGATAAAGTAATTCACAAAGAAATACAGACAGTAAAAATATTTTTTAATTGCTGAAGAGTACAGTAATAAAAAAATAACTACAGCAAGCATTTTCCCACATAACAAAAACATACAAGATGAATATTGTCAAGTATTGATAACAATGGGGAAAAATGTACAGTGACAGACACTGTTGATAAAAGTCTATATTGGTAAACTAAAGGATATTTTGGTGGTTTGTATTAAAAATTTGAGTAAGTCCACCTTTCCATATCTCATCTGTTGATACACTTATACAGACAGGATCACAAAGATACAAATGGAATGATGTTCACTGCCATACAGTTGTTTTTTTTTTTTAAAAAAAATAGCTTTACTGAGATTTAATTTACATAGCATCACATTAGCTCATTTTGAGTATAAAGTCAATGACTTTCAGTAAATTTAGTCATACAATCATTACCAAAATCCAATTTTAGAACATTTCATCGCCCCCAAATGATCCTTCACGCCCATTTGCAGTTACTCCTTATTCACATCCCAGCCATAGGCAACCACTAATTTACTTTTGTCTGTATAGATTTTCAGTTCCTGGACATTTTATACAAGTAATATATTTTAGTTTTAATTGGGGTATGGCTAAAACTCAACAACATAAATCATCTTTCACTAATACTCTAGTACCAGCTATGGATATGATTTAAAATAATACTAAAATTTAGCTTTAAAATCAAGAATACAGCTTTAGTAAGGAGGAGATTAGGGAATATTAAGTGGCATGTGATAGAAAGTTATATTAATACATTACATGTATATTGTCATTATTCAGAATTTGATAAGCAAAATCAGTTGAACTTTATGACAGAGTAATTCTGTGCAGCTGTTACACGTTTCCTCATCCGTAGGGGGATACAAAATTGATCTGTGCATTTTCAAGGCAGGAGGCATTGGTACTTTGACAGAGTTCTATTCTGGCGACAGTATGCCTATTATGCCAAATGTCTAATGTACACCTAATGATTGTATTATACACAGAAAGCTGTTATGCACTGATTACCAACTGCTGTTTATAATCTTTTGAATGCATTTTCATGCTGAAGAAAATGATGGAAAAAGTCACAAGAGGGAGAAAATGGAAAAGAAAATGATCCATAAACAATGGGGCTTCATATAGCTCCATGTGGTTACATCAAGCCTCATGTGTCTGAGAATCACTGACAAGTTTTAGGAGCATAATGAATTTCTAGGTTTAAAAGCAATAAAGCAAATAGTAGCCTCTGATTTAATATGTACATAGGTTCCAGGGGTGTGGTAACACTTGATACTATGAGTCTGGTGCTGCTTGGGTCTGATGGCGACTGCTGAGCTGACTACACCCAACCACAAATCATCAATCATCCTAATCAATAAGAGATCAATTTTCCCATGAGGAAACTGCTGGTTTAAATGTTCAGGGCTGCTTTCTATGTTTGTTATCCAATTATGTTTTCAAATATTTTAGAGGTTCGGTAGAAAAGAAAATAAAAGGATTTAGTTCATTTGAGAATGGTAGGCACCAGAAAATTGAGCCACCCTGATAGGAAATCAAGAAGGCATGGGGTACTCTCAAATGAGACTAGATCCCAAAAGCACTGCTTTCTTTCTATGTAGGATTAGAAGGCTACCATTTTGGAAGAAATGTGAGAAGGCAGTAAGAATAGATGGGCTGGTTCATCAAAAACTTAAACAAAAAATTGCTATGTGATCCTGCAAAACCATTCCTAGGTTTATATGTATACCCAGAAGAATTGAGAGTAGGGACTCAGATACTTGTACACCAATGTTCTTAGCAGCATTATTCACAAAAACCAAGTGGTAGAAATAATCCTAGTGTTCATCACCAGGTGAATTGATAACCAAAATGTAGTATATCCATAATATGAACTATTATTCTTTTTTTCTTTCTATTTTTAGAGCGGGAGTCTCAGTATATTGCCCAAGCTGGTCTCGAACTCCTGGGTTCTAGCAATCCTCTAAACTGGCCTCCCAAAATGCTGGGAAAATATTATTCATCCTTAAAAAGGAAGGAAATTCTGATACATCTACAACATGAATGAACCTTGAAAATATTATGCTGAGTGAAGTAAGCTAGACATAAAAGGAAAAATATTATATGACTTCACCTACATAAGGACCTAGAATAGGCAAATTCAAAGAGGCAAACAATAGAATGGTAGTTAGCAGAGGCTGGAGAGTAGGAGGAACAAGGAGTTATTGTTTAATGGATTTACAGTTTCTGTTTGGGCTGATTTAAAAATTCTGGAAATGGATAGTGGTGATAGCCACATAACACTGTGAATGTATTTTTTTTCTTTAAACATATGGAACACTTCATGAATTTGCATATTATCCTTGCACAGGGGCCATGCTAATCTTCTCTGTATCATTCCAATTTTGGTATATGTGCTGTTGAAGTGTACACATGAGTGTATTTAATGTGACTGAAATGGCCAAAATAGAAATTTTTGATTATGTATATTTTACCACACTTTTTTAAAAGGACAAAAAAAAAAAAAGCATAATTGGGCCATAGGAAGACATAACAACAAATGTTAGAATTAAACCTTTCAACAGCTGATTGTCCTGTTTTAGCCTTCTCTGAGGTCTTAAGAAATTAGAATGCCAATTCTGGTTATTTTTTTTTTTCCTAATGGGAGGAAGAAATTAGCTGCTGTAATTTTTTTTTTTTTTTTTTTTTTTAGACATGATCTCCCTCTGTTACCCAGGCTAGAGTGCAGTGGTACCATCTCAGCTCACTGCAACCTCCGCCTCATTGGGTTCAAATGATCTGCCCACCTCAGCCCCACCAAGTAGGTGGGACCACAGGTACCCGCCACCACACCCAGCTAATTTACGTATTTTTAGTAGAGACAGGGTTTCACCATGTTGCCCAGGCTGGTCTCAAACTCCTGAGCGCAAGTGATCTACCTGCCTCTGCAGGCAGTGCTGGGATTACAAGCATGAGCCACTGTGCCCAGCTGCTTTAACATTGTAGATTACAATTAATTTTTTCCTTTATTGCTTCAGTAAATAATTATTAAAGGCTCGCTACATGCCAGGCACTGTTCCAGTTGTTAGTAAACAGAAAGAAAAACTTCTTCTCGAGCTTAGTGGAAGAGATATGATAAACAAACAAATATTTATTTATTCACTTATATTTTATTTTGAATAGAGATGGGGTCTTTATATAGCCCAGGCTGGTCTCAAACTCTTGGGTTCAAAGGATCCTCCCAAAGTGAGGATCCTATTACAGATGTGAGCCACCACACTTGGCCATAATCAAGGAAAGCTTTAAATGAGCAAGATGTTTCTGATAGTGAAATGTCTCATGCAAAAAATAAAATAGAGTGACAGAGAGTGGGAGCAAAAGAGGGCAAGATGCTACTCTTGAGAGGGAAATCAGGAAATATCAAGACCAGAATGATCTGAAAGCAGCAGCAGGTCCCAGACCTAAAGGCCTGCATTTCTGCTAGAGGACACACTCATAAAAAGGCCTGATGGTGGAAAATAGATTGGCATTTTCAGGAAACAGAAAGAATGTTCTTGTGATGGATCACATGGGAAAAAGGGAGACAGCCAGGAGACGAAAATGGAGAATTAGGGTGCTATATGCTATATTGAGGAGTGCCCAAAGGGAACCCATTGGAGGGCTTTCAGCAGTGTAGTGACATGATCCAGTTTATGTTTTGAAAGGCAACACTGGCAGCTGCATGGAGAATGGAATAAAACTGAGTTAAGAATGGAGGCATGGAAACCAGTTAGCGTGGAGGTCAGGTTGGAGTCTAAGGCAGTGGTCCCCAACTCTTTTGGCACCAGGGACTGGCTTCATGGAAGACAATCCTTCCACGGACTGGGGCCAGGGGTGGGTGGGTTGGGGGAGATGGTTTTGGGATAAAACTGTTCCACCTCAGATAATCAAGCATTAGATTCTCATAAGGAGCCCTCAACCTAGATCCCTCACATGTGCAGTTCACAATAGGGTTTGCGCTCCTATGAAAATTCAATGCCACTGCTGATTTGACAAAGTTCAGGAGGCAGAGTTCAGGCAGTAATGCTCATCTCCTGCTGTGTGGCCTGGATCCCAACAGGCCATGGACCAGTACCAGTCCGAGGCCCAGGAATTAAGGACCACTAGTCTAATGCAATAGTGCAGGTGAGAGATGATAACAGTTTGGAAGAGGGGAGTGTTGATGCTAATGGAAGGAAGTAGAAGAATTAATGGCAACTGATAATAAAATGTATCAGGCATATTTCAAAGCACTTTAAAATGTCATTTTCTTTAATTGATGATCTGAATTGTGTCTGATACCCTACAGCTTTTTCATAGCATATCAGTTGCTTAATATTTGAAAGTAAGCATATACTTTCATAGGAAGAAAATAAATAATTGGGTATAGTAAATCTCCAAGGCTATGAGATCTCTTTACTATATACTCTTTATGTATTTATGTATGTATATATTTATATCTTTTGAGATGGAGTCTCACTCTGTCACCCAGGCTGGAGTGCAGTGGTACAATCTTGGCTCACTGCAGCCTTCACCTCCCAGGCTCAAGTGATTCTCCTGCCTCAACCTCCCAAATAGCTGTGATTTTACAGGCAAGCATCACCACACTGGCTAATTTTTGTATTTTTAGTAGAGATGGGGTTTCGTCATGTTGGTCAATCTGGTCTCAAACTCCTGACCTCAGGTGATCCACCCTCCTTGGCATCCCAAAGTGCTAGGATTACAGGTCTGAGCTACCACACCTGGCCACTTTATTTATTTTTATATAGAATTTTCACTTAACAATTTGCTATACACTTTAACAGTTCAACCCCAACCAGTGACAATTATATGAATGGCATGTATAAGTTATTAAGGAAATATCTGATGAATAAGAAAATGTGCCTAAATAATTAAATTCTTCTTCAAAGACCTCACTGTTACATTATTCATTCAAACTTGACAGAAGTCAATTCAGTTCCACATGTATTTTGTGTCAAGCTCTACATTAGGTGCTGAAAATGAAAAATTAGATAAGTAAGAGATTTTGCTTATAAAGGCTACAGTCTTTGCAGATCATATTTTGTAATGATGATGATGATGGTTCAAGGAAGCTTTTATAGGGCTGATTCCCAATTTCCTTCTTCACTGTAAGTAAGTCCCTTAACTTTTAGTTTAAAATGCTCTGTTCTCAGAACGGTTGTAAGACAATTCATTCATTCGTAAATAAGTTTAGGAAATGTGAATTTTAACAATGTTAAAAGGATTTAGCTCTATTGCAAAAGTCTCAGTCTATAATATATTTATGTGCAAAAGGAATATGGTATGTATACTTCTTTTACATTGTAACTCTTTCAAGGAACTCCTTTTAACATTCCCTCAAACAATGTCCTATAGGACACAGTTTAGGAAATCTTACTTTACACAGTCCCTTTACCTTACCCTCTGCACTATTCCCCTTTCCCTTTGGGACAATCCAGTCCCCTTCGCTCCTTGACTCTGTGTCAGGGTCTTTCTATTATTAAGGCTATAGATTAGTTCTCTTTTTCTCTGTCATTAGTTACTTTTCTGTGAAAGCTTTGCTTCCTAGTAACTAGTTTCTGACTTTCACAAGTTAAATATGACCTACTTGCTGGATTGGTCAATTTTCATTATATTATTGGGCTTCAATAGACTCTATTCTAGAAGCATATGCTGGATCTATCTCTGTAGGGTTAATCTGACCAAGGAAATTGCCCATATTTTTCTCCACACTGATTCATGAGGACCATAACCTTTCAGATCAGGAAAAATATTCTAAGGCACCATTCTCCAAGCTTGTCTGTGCTTCCAAGTCATCTGAAGAATTTTGCAATAACATAACTTCCCTGGCCCTATCCCAGGCCTAACAGAATCAGAAAAATATTCCAAAGCGATTCAAATGCAACTAGATCCTAGTCACTCAAATTCAGTTTTATTTCTCCTGCCTTAAATTTAGGAGTAGAGCTAAGTTTATAATAAAGTAACTAACATTTGTTTATTATTTTATAGACTTTAAAATGTTTTCTTAAATATCTTTAAAACCTCTGAGATGTAGGCAAGGCAGGAATATAATTTCTACTTAATAAATGAAATTTATAAAAAGTCTAAGAGCTCCTGACCAATAGCAATCAAGGCCAAGTTTCCTGACTTTAGTCTTCAAAATCTACCTGTGACCGGTGACAAGCAGTAACAGTAAGGAATAAAAAATGCTGTGATGAGGCAATGGAAGGAGCGGTATGACGAGATCACCAGAGTGGCCAACACATTGTGGGAATGTACAGACAAGGCTTCCAACGCAAAGACTGAGTAGACATTAGACATTAGAGAGGAAGATGTTCTCCAGGTTGGAATTATAAAAATTTGAGAAATGCCAAGACAAGATATTGAGAAAGAGTTTGTTTAAGAAACAGAAAGAGTTCAGATTGTCTAAAGTAGAGGCTCGAGGGAAGAAAACAGCAAAAGATGAGGATGAAGTGGTAGACAGGAGCCAGGGAGCAATTTTAAGGTCTTGGAAATATATCTTAAGGACAATAGGGAATTATTGAAAGATTTTGAGCTGAAGAGTGGCCTGATGAAGTTTGGTTTTAAGGGTTCACTTTGGGTGAAGGATGGAGAATCGTGTGCAGGAATGTAAGGCTGGAGGTGAGGAGAACAGTTCAGAGACTGTGTCAGAATTTCTTAGGATAGGCAGTCATGCTTGCACTAGCACAGTGGTGGAGGTGGAGAGAAGACAAAGATGGTGGAATCTACGCTCCTTAGGCAACAAGGTGGCTAGTGTCACCATTCATTGAGAAAGAGATCAGTTTGTGAGGAGCTGGTTGGGATGATGTCTAATGTGGACACATCAAAGTATGAATGTCCATAAAGCAAATTCATAAATAGTATGGGTCTGAAGTCCAGGAATAGAGATAAGGAAAGTGGTAAAGACTTGAGAGTCAGACATGGATGCCGTGGGGGTAGATGAGATGAGAATATGAGGAAACTGGGACCTGAGAGTAAAAATGTCATGGAGCTAGTATTACTGGAGCTGGGATCATAACCCAGGTCTTCTGACTGCTATTATAGTGGTCTTGCCTAAGAACCTGCAGGGAGAATCCCAGCATAATAGCTGAGAGCTCCGACTCAGAGAGCAGAAAGAAAGCAGTCTGAATGCCAACTTGGACACATATAAGCTAAGTTATATTGGGCAAGTTGACCTATTCTCTTTATGCCTTACTTTCTTAAGCTGTAATGAGGAGGTAATAACAATATCAGCAGAAGGATGTTGTAGAGATTAAACGAGAAAGCATATTTGGGCTGGGCATGGTAACTCACAGCTGTAATCCCAGCACTTTGGGATTCTAAGGCAGGCAGATCACTTGAGGTCGGAAGTTCAAGAACAGCTTGGTCAACATGGTGAAACCCCATCTCTAG